TTTACCTAATATTTATTGATTTTATTCTTATTCATTTTTTTAATCTTCTTACTCTATTTATATTTATATTGTATCCCGTTCTTATTTATTTTATCGTTTTACCCTGTGTATATCCCTTTGTGTCATATCTTCAGGGTTTTTCATCAGAGGGCGCTCTCTGCACCGGGGCTGTGATCGACCGTGGCTGCTGGGGCTCTGGGGGTCCTCTCAGCCTGGCTGGGGGGCTTCTTTGCCTCCCTCCTGCTGTGTGCCCAGCCTGGAGGCTGCGGTCTGTGACCGGCTCCCGGTGCAGACGGCTCCCTGTTATAGTGTTTCCTCACTTGGCTCATGCGTACCCAGCCCAACTTGGGAGTGAGTTGGAGGGTGGGGTGGGCTGCTTTTAACCATGCAAAGCACTTTGTGCTACATTTTTTTTGTATGAAAACTGCTTTATAAATAAAGATTGATTGATTGATTGAAGTATCTTGGCTAATATTTTAGCGTCTATGTTCAGTAAAGAAATCGGTCTATAGGAGGCACATTCCAACGGACCTTTTCCTTTCTTTGTAATAAGTGTAATACAGGCTTCATAGAATGATCGAGGAAGAGATCCTTGTTCCTTGCAGTCCGTAAGGGTTGCACTAAGCTGCGTGGACAGTAATGAAGAGAAGTGTTTGAAAAATTCTGACGGAAAGCCATCCGGACCTGGACACTTACCAGAGTGCATCGAAGCTATAGCCAAGGAAACTTCTAACTGGGAGATGGGTTCATCCAGCCTTGTTTTAAGTTCTGGTGGAATTTCAGGAATGTCAAGTTTAGCTAAGAACTCATTAATTGCATTACAGTCAGTTTGGGACTCTGAGGTGTAAAGCTGTGAGTAAAAATCCCTGAACACTTCATTAATTTTTCCGTGATCTGTGACTATGTTGCCATCTTATTGTCGAATTTTAAGAATACTTTGCCTTGCCCTAGAACCTTTTAGAAGGCTCGCCAGTAATTTATCAGGTTTGTCACCATACATATAAAATTTGGATTTGTCATGTAAGAGTAAACGTTCAGTCGAGTACGTTGTGAGTAGGTCAAGTCTTGTTTTAAGTTCTACATGCTTTTTAAATATTTCATGACTCTGTTTGAGAGCATACTGTTCATCAGTCTCCTTAATTTGTTGCATTAACTTATTCCTTTCATGGGTGGACTGTTTTTTAATTCTTGCCGAATAAGCAATAATCTGGCCTCTGATATACGCCTTAAAGGCATCCCATACGACAAGGCTGGAAGTCTCTGGGGAAGAGTTGGTGGCAAAGTAAAAGCGTATCTCATCCTGGATAAACTTTACAAAATTTTCATCCGACAGGAGGGTCGAGTTGAAACGCCATTGTGCAGCTTTAACAGGAGGATGTGGAAGAGACAGAGACAAAGTAAGAGGGGCGTGATCTGAAATAACTATGCTATGGTAGGCACAGGAGTGGACCTGCTGCTGACAATTACTGTCAATGATAAAGTAATCAATTCTTGAATATGTATGGTGCACATGTGAAAAATAGGAGTAATCTCTTTTATGAGGATTTAGAGTACGCCAAACATCACACATTCCATATTCTGATAGAAAGGCATGAATGACAGATGCAGATTTGCTTAAAACATTACTCTTAGTGGATGAGCGATCCAGGGCTGGGTCTAACCAGCAGTTAAAATCACCCCCCAGAAAAAGAGAGTAGACATTTAAGTCGGGTAAAGAGGAGAATAGTTGTTTAAAGAAATTCTCGTCATCTGTATTAGGAGCATACACATTTACTAGGGCAACAAGACTGTTATACAGTTTCCCACTGACTATATGACATATCTACCATATTTGTCTGCTATGACATTGTGGGCCTCAAAGGGAATGTTCTGCCTGATCAATATAGAGACCCCACGTGCCCTAGCTTGGAAAAGTGAGTGAAAACACTTGCCCCTCCAACGGGAGAAGAGACGGACATTATCAGAGGCCCTGACGTGGGTCTCCTGCAGGAAAGCCACGTCAGTGTTATGGTGTTTAACATGTGACAAAACACGTTGGCTCAGGTCTTCAGTTGCAAGCTCCAAGAATGAAACTCTCTCGGCCTGTTCCTCTTGGGCTTGTCGTACCTGGTCCAGTTTTGAATCGAGGGCGTTAATTGAGGTCTTAAATTCAGATGCCAACTCATCTCGGTGCTGCTGGAGCAGTGTGGTGATAGCCTCCAGTGTTAAGCTAGTGTCCTCCTTTTTGTTCGCTTTTGCACTCTTAGAAGCCATTAGAAAGGGTTAAAAGTGTTCAAAACCCTAGAAAAGTAGTTACGAGTGTAAGCGACTTAAAGGTGGCAGTTGAAGGGGTGAAACTGGTCAAAGCGGAGTTAAGTTCACCGGAGCAGTTCGTTCCTGCGTCTACTCTGGTCGCATGCTGACTGGAAGTCCTCCACTCCATTTAAATCTCACTGCACATCTGTCATTCATCTTTGCAGATGCCTTCGCACAACCTACCTCCTCCCCATCTCTGCCTCTCATTACTCAGACTTCAGGCTCCATTCAAGCCTCGATCTTCATCTCCATCACCAATGTCTAATCTCTGGGGGGTCCTGCCCTAATCCCTATCCCTGCTGGGATTCCGTTCTGCTGTGATGGGCCAACTGGGTCTAATCACCAAATACCTCAAATTGTATTCTGTACATCAACAAATCACGTTCAATTCCAGACCGCAGCTCTTTACCAGCTCTTTCTGTTTAAAATGTCCAGATTTGGGCACAATTGAGCCCTTCCCTGGTCCAGTTGCTTCCCTCCCAGACAATGGGTACGATAAAAGATGGTGGTCTTTATCGTGTCCTCTAAGAGTTTCAGGTGAACCTGAATAAACTGTCTCACCATTGTTTCTGAGTCCAATTCTGCCTTCTCTGGGATGCCTGTCAATGCTGCAGGCCTGGAGCTCGATAACAGTTTCTTTGAGGTTTTAAAATTTTATTATGAGAGTTGGGTCATTCCCTTTATGAGTGATGTCACTAACTGTAGGTCATGAGTTTTTGTCAGCAAGTGTTTTCACCTGCTGCGAACTGTACTCCATAGACTCTCGCAGAGTTTGAAACTCTATGTGAAGGAATTCCATTTAACAGGTTTGCAGAGCAAAACACAAACTGTTTGTGTGCAGTAAGTCACAGAGTGTGTCTACTACTGTAGCTAAAGGTACAGCTGCTGTAGGGAGAAAAGAACAAAAGATAACTTCACTCACAGATGGAGAAAGTTGTAGGAAAGATAGGGCAAGACAGGAAGAAGAGAGGTTAGATTTAAAGGTAAGATGCTCATGGTCAGAGTTAGGTTACATCAAGTGGAGCAGAGATAAATTTGAATTTAAACTGATGGTACTTAGAATCATTCATTGAATTCCACCATCATACCAACTTTATACCAACTAGCATAAAGATAGTATAAACTTTCCCCTATAAAGTCAGTGTAGGAGATGGAAATCAGCCAAAGCCAAACAGTTTGTGGAATATTGGGTTAGATTTTGTTGAATTGAGTTGTATAAATCCACAAAGAGCACTAAATCAGAGCAGCAGTAGCACAGGTCAGACTTGTTATTCTTTCATTACAACTAACCTTAGGGTTCCCCCACCTCCTGATTGTACTTATTTCTGTTTAGATGTGGATGCAAAGTAAAAAAAAAACAAAACAACTTTGTGTTCCCATGTACTAATATTATTATATTACTATAGCAAGAGGTTCAGTTAGATTTGCACAAAAATGGCTGGTGGAAATGTCCTTCAAATAGCTACTTTTTACTTTCTTACGTTCTTTACTTTTACTTGAGTAAAGAAGTTGAATCGGAACGTCAAATTCAGAACTCAAAGCCAGCCATCCATCTAAGTAACACCACCTCAGCTGCTGACCTCCTCCCTCCATCGGAGTGTCCATTTTGGTTTCTGTAATGCTTTAATTAACAAATGATTGCATGGCATGTTCTGTACTTGATTTTTTTTAAAAAGGGAAAGGCATTAAAATTATTTGTGTAATAATTATTATTTGGGATGTTGGAAGACTTCTCTGCTTGGTTGCAAACCTGCCTAAATTCATATTAGTTATTAGTTCCATTATAACCATCAATTTAGGTTCTTCTGATATGGTATATTATGTACTACAATGTCATGTACAAGCATTTACTGTATGAAGCTTTCTTTTTTCTAGTCTTGTCAGCCACTCAAAACCCTTTAGACATTATAAAAAAGAAACAAGTGGTTAGGGCTTTTTTAGAACCACTAAAAATCAGAGGAATGTGTTATTATTGAAACCTGATTACTAGAAACAAAGATTATATTAGTTTAAAAAGAAAAATACTTCAACACATCCTTCTTCCTTTTCAATTATCCAAATTTGTATTTCCATTAGGAAAATTTACTGGCAATTACAAAAGCCCCCCAAAATATTACATTTTCTAATAACACTGATGAGTATTATAAAATATAAGATTTCATTGAAGAAACTTTTAAATATTTTATAGGTACGGTAATTCATGTAGAAAAACAATTGATGCATTAATAGTTTTATTAAGATGAAGAGAGTAAAAGTCTACATTCTGGGGAAACCAGAGTATCTCATCCTAAATAACATACAGTTACTATGTAATTATATGAAAGATAAAACTGGGGCCATGTGTGGCCATCAGTATGATTGGGAAAAATCAAGAAAACAAGTGACATTCAGAATAATCATAACATTATTCAAAACAAATATATTGTCATAGCTTTTATATTCCCCATACTTGTCATCAATGGGACAGTTCCAAAGCACAAAAAAAAACCCATCACAATGTCTGTTGAAAACTTTATCACAGTCACAGTTGTTATCTTTTGGCATTTTTGGTGTAATTGTTGTTGTAGTTTTACAATGCTGTCATTGAATCACTATTGTAATATAAAACTGACAATATATATGCATAACAAAAATCCCCAAATAACTAGTTATGGATATATGGATATATATTTCTGTTCATATTATTGCACACTATTACATTTATTCAAGACATTTGCATGATAAGTTTAACAAAAGATAAATATATTTGTTAACTATAAGTAAATATTAAATGTATATTACACTTTATAACTCACTTGGAAAAAGGTAATTGTGTGTTAAATAGTTATCCATCCTCAGGTTTACCCAGACCCCTTTTTTTTACATCTGAAACAAATTAAATTTAAATCCCAACTAAACAAGAAGAACAGAAGTAAACATTGACAATAAAAAAAACATCCTTTCACAGTTTAAGTGGTTTTCATAGGGTTCCATCTGTGATTTTCCTGTTTAATAATAGATGATAAAGACAAAGAGTCCCAGTACAAGAGGGATTACATTCATTCTGACAGAAGATGCGTTACTTGTTGTTGTCGTGGATTTTTTAGTTGTTGAAGAAATTGTAGTGGTTATTGCGGAAGTGGTTGTTGTCACAGCTGTTGTTTTGGTTGTTGACGCAGTGCTTGGATTTGGAGTAGCTGTTGTTGTTGTTGATGATGCTGTTGAAACAGGTATTGTGGTCTGAGCAACAGCTGATGTTAGAGGTGATTTTATGGTTGGTGAGGCTGTTGATGTTGTTGGAGCATCTGGGCTTGTTGTTGGGGCAGCTGTGGTTGTGGTTGAAGCAGCTGTTGTCATTGTTGGTGCAGCAGTTGTTGTGGTTGCAGATGCGGTGGCTGTGGTCACAGCAGATACTGCTGTTGTTGGAGCAGCTGTTGTCGATGGTGGAGCAGGAGTTGTTGTGGTTGGTGCCACAGTGGTTGTGGTTGGAGCAGCAGTTGTTGTGGTTGGTGCAGTGTTTGCTGTGGTTGGAGCAGCAGTTGTTGTGGTTGGTGAAGCTGCTGTCGTTGTTGGAGCAGCTGTTGTTGTGGATAGTGCCACAGTGGTTGTGGTTGGTGCTGCTGTTGTGGTGGGTGATGCAGCTGTGGCTGTGGTTGGAGCAGTTGTTGTTTTGCTTGGTGCTGCAGTGGTTGTGGTTGGAGCAGCTGTTGTCGTGGTTGGAGCAGCTGTTGTTGTTTTTGGAGAAGCTGTGGTTGTTGTTGGTTCCACCGTTGCTGTCGTTGGAGCAGCTGTGGTTGTGGTTGGAACAGCTTTGGTCGTAGTTGAAGCAGCAGTTGTTGTTGTTGGTGCCACCGTTGTTTTGGTTCGAGCAGCTGTTGTCGTGGTTGGAGCAGCAG